AAGTAGTAACGGTAGGAGCTGCAAAGGGTGTGGGCGTTTCCTGATGGGCGGTGTCTTACAGAAGAAACACTGGGTTACCAGGAGGCAGCGTTTGGGGGCCCTTCAGCAGTCACCCAGTATTTGTAAGTAGATTTGGGAGCCACAGTAATGTAGGCTCTGTGCTTGGGAAAAATACCTCCTTAAGTGTTAAAACACAAAGCCTACCTGAGTTAGGGTCAGCTCATTTGCAACTGTCCCCTACCTGCAAGTGGCGAGTGCGTCCTGCCTCACTGTCGCCCACGGCTGAGGGGGAGGTGGCCCGCCTGATGGTCCCTCCTCGGAGAACTGTGGCCCGTGCTCTGGACTGCCCCGTCTCTTTTTTTTACTTCTCAGTCTGGCTGAGGCCACGCTGGGCAAGCTTTCTTTTACAAGTACATACACTTTCTCTTGGATTATCTTCTGTCTCCTACAACTCCTGGCAACTGAATCTTGCAAATTCCCCTTCCCCTTCCATTTGTAAGACATACAATCCCCCAGCCATGGCCAAGTACAAGAGTGGAGCAAGGGACACCCAGTCCCTTTATCGAGGAAAGTTCCACACTGAAAATGCAGTTAGATGCCTTGCCCACGCCATCCACCCCTGCAGCATGGTATGGGCATGGGGACATCACTCCGGCCTTCCTCTGGCCACTGCCCCTATTCTCACGGACCCTCTGCCCTCCATCACACCTGCATGGCAAAACGCCAACCCTCCAAGACTCCACACAGCAAAACCCTGGTGGAGAGAACCCACCTTCCTGCTTTCTCCTACCAGCAGCTGGGATACCCTGGGGAGAATGCCATGCCCTGAGCTGACCGGAACCACAAAAATCACCATGGTCCTCACTCGGGGCCGAAACACAGCCCTGGTTACCTTGCTCTCCAACTCTCCCAGAGATGACTTTAAACCTTCTCAAACCACCACTTGGAGCAGAGAGAATATAAAGCACCCAAGGGTACTTCCTTCCCCGTACTCCCAACAAAGCTCGTTGCAACCCGACGCTGCTTTTCACGTCAGGGCCTGTCCCCTTGCTGTGCTCTGGGTCCTGCCCCCTTGCCCCTTCTCTAGACCATGTCCAAGCTATTAATCCTCTCTCCTGCCCTCTCTGCCACTCCCTCCCTTCAGCATTTATGCCCAAGTCTCTCCCCGACACCCATAGTGTGTTCATCACTGTTTGAAATTCAGCTTATTTCTGTGTTAACTTGTTATGGTTTGTCCTCCCCAGTAGAAGTTCTGAGGGCAGGAACCTTGCCTGTCCTGGTGCTGTTAACACTTGTTTAAGGATGAATGAAGTGAATTCCCCTCCAGCTCCTGTTCTACTTCTCTCTGGGCCTTAACAGCCAAGCTCTTTGGAAAGATCTCACACTCGCTGCCCCGTTCCCTCACCGCCCATGTATCTGGCGGCACACGAAGACCCTGGGCCTCTTCCGTGGAGTCTGCCTATGACTTCCAGCACACACTCCACGGTCACTGTGCTCACGTCCTCAGCAGCGTCCGGCCAGCAGACCATCCCTCCTCCTTGAAGCACTCTCATTTCTCGGCACCGGGACACTGGTCCTCTTGGCGCTTTTCTCCCACATCTCCACAAACGCTGACATTCCTCAAGGACCTGTCCTGGGGTTAGTCAGTCTTTCCTCCTAAATATTTACCTTTAGGCCAAAGCCCTCTCCTGAGTTTCAGATAACAGCCAACTGCTCCGTCAATGTCCCATTTGTACTTCTCTAAAATTCACGACCTTTCCTCCCAACTGTGTCCCACCTCCTGTGTCCCCCCTCCTGTGTCCCCTCCCAAGCACAGGGTCCCACCATTACTTGGGCGGCCGCCTTCGCCTGCTCACTCTCTACACCGTCCACTGCCTAGTCCAGTCCATTCTGCCTCCAGTCCTGACTGCCTGCTTGTCTCCAACCACTGCCCCATGCCCTCTCCCCTGGATACAGCAATAGCCTAAGCAATAATGCATCTACTCTGGACTCCTCCCTCACCTCCTCCCCAGGGTGGCTAGGTGACCTACAAATGGGAATCTGACAACGTCACATCCCTTATTAAAATCCTTCAGATGCTTCCTACTCCTTGGGTGGAACTCAAACTCCTTACCAGGACTGCAAAGCCCTCCACTCCGTGCCTGCCTTTCCAGCTCCTTGGATGCCACTCTCACCGTGCTCTCTGCTGCCCAGGCCTGAGGGCATGATGGCCTCCGTGCTCATGTCTGGGAAACCCATCCCCTCTCCGTCCAGCTCCACAGGTCTCAGGGCAAATGATACCTTCTCATATTCACACTTGCTATGCATGCCCATGGGCCTTGACACCTCCCTGTGTGACGTGCACTGTTCTCCCAGGACCACGCAAAGCTTGTCTCACCTTCTGGACTGTAAGCTCCACAATGGCAGGGCCATTTCCATAAATGAGAGTTCATCATGGTCCTCCCTCACATCAACAAGGCCAGGCACAGCAGGTACTGGGTAAGTAGTTACTGAATGATCGAGTGAATGAACACTTTGCCTCAAATACCACCATTTAAGAAACCACAAAATAAGAGTCTTTTTGTTTTGTTAAATTATAGTATTTTAAATTTATGGGAGGAATTTTTGAGTTAGGTAGAATTTTGTTGGCTAACCTAAGAATCTAATCACTATGTACAACAATGTTTTTTGGGGGATATTAATTCTGAATTATAAACATTTTAGCTAACAATGCTCTTTTGAAAAACAATGTATTGTAATTTAGGGATTGCCTGTTAAATTAAGATTTAAAATGAAGTTTGATGGCTTGTATGTTTTTTTAACCAGGAAAATAAGGAAGAAGGATAAACTGTCCCAGAGGATGGGAGGAAACAGGAAGTGACGCAGCAGGGACACTTGCCTAACCCCACTCTCCTTTTTATTCACTTATTTCACTTTAAGTCTTACACAGACTCACACGTTTCCAAATGCAGTAGTCTTAAAGACAATTTGTAGGTTATTCTGTTACCTCCTCTTTTCTTGTAAAACAATACATTGTGTACATCTTTCACTGTCAGTAGGTATGAATTTACTTTTAATGACTGTACTATATTGCAGTCACTGGAAGAGCTGTAATTTATTTAACCATTCCCCTGTAGATGAACATTTTCAATTTTTAATATTATAAACAATGCTGTAATAATTATCCTTTCTATCTAGGTTTGTTCAGTCATGTTAATATTTTCAGGATAGATTAATAGAAGTGAGATTTCTGGATCAAAAAGTGTGCATATTTTAGATTCTGGTAAGTACTGCCAAACTGCCCTTCAAAAAAGCTGTGTCAATGTTATACCCCCACCAACAGGGTATGAGAGACCTTGTGCTATTTTCATGTCCCCAAAAGGTATGCCTTTTATTCTGGGATATATATTTTAAAAGTGATTTTCTCTCGAGAGGTTAAGATCAAGGGAATAAAACCTTCCATGCAGATCAACATGC